GATACTTGTTTTGGCTAGGGTTGTCAATCAAAGAGGGTAGCAGGATCGTGATGAGGGAGGTGAGTAGTAAGCTGAGGGTTCGTGGAAGTCAGTGATGAGTTGTCATCTGTTGAGAGTTCCAAGTCATGCAAGACAGAAAAAAAAATCTGGAAGGGGGCTCAAATTTGAGTGGCCCCCATTCCGAACAGAGAAAATAAAATCAAGATGAATTGAGGTAATTGGATTTTTACCCCCCCAATCAGGGACACTTCTCAGGGTAGCACTAGTCATGTGGTCAAGGAGAAGCCCAAGCAGGCCACCTAGACCACATGCCAGTGCAATCCTTTTGTGTCATGGGTTCAATTCCCACTGAGTACATCTATTTTTCTCAGTTATCAACACTACGCTACATGTGTAGTGTAACTTGTAATTTAACGTAGCGTAACTAGATATGTACTGTAGTGTAACTTAGCTTAATTTACTATGAGTTACGCTACATGTTAGCTGGACCAGTAGTTACGCTGTTGGTTAGCGGAAATTTTGTTAGCTTCAAAAAAGTTACGCTACTTGTTAGTTTAGTGGCAATTATTTCAAGCTAACACTAAAAAAAAATTGGAGGAAAAATTTCACGCTACGCTGGCAGTTAGCTCAGCGGTGTGTAGCGTGAACTAACACTACAGGAATTCCAGGGAAAAAAAAATCCACTACACTAACATGTAGTGGCCAAATAGCGTAGTGTAGCGTAGCGGCCCACCGTTGGTAATGGTGGAAGTGCAAGCAGAGCTTTGTATGATTTTTTCTGTTTCAGCTGTTTGGCTTGTGTCAGTGGAGGAAGTGGACCTTCAAGTTGAGGTCTCTCTCAACACGTTTTGACCATGTGATGTCCTGTCAAATTTGTTGTGGTGAGCAATTGATTCTTAATCTGTTTTGGCTAGTAATTTCTGTGTCTTCATTGCTACCCCGTGTCCACCTCTTCTCCCCTCCATACTCCAAATGTGGTGTTTGTACACTCCTACAATAGTGTGATTATTTGAGGTTCTGACTGGTGACCCTTGTGATGCCCCCACAAAAAGCATCAATAAATGATCCACATCCTGAAAATCATTGCAGCCTGTAGGGTCCTCCAAATACTTCACCCTGATTAAAGAATTTTAAAGTGAGGTTTAATTGACAAATATTGAATAAAAATAAGGGCCAGTTCCATTGGGAACAAAAGGTCAATTTTTCAGAATTGATCTTACTCAAATTTTTATTTAATCAAAATTGACCATCACAAGCCATTGGTTGACATAAAAGTTGAGAAACCCAATTTTTGTTCTATTCACTTTTTATCAAATTCTGTGCAGAGTGCAGAAAAAAATCCAATTCTTCCAAATTGAATCCCATGGTATGGCCCTAACTCACTGAAACTGTATGTAAGTTGGAAAACAGAACACAACTGGAATGGTCTATGTAATGGTGAGCCACTTACACTAACCATGGTTTTAGTGTAGCTTAGCATAGTGTATTTCCACTAAAAAAATAGTATAGTGCAGTGGAATTCTGCCATGCCTGCACTAACACTACAATTGCAGGCCCCTGTTGGAATTTCATCTCTTTTCCTTTCCTCTCTTCTAAGATTTCTTACTTCTGCCTCTTGTCTTGAATGATCAATAGGATCTGTTTAGAATAATCATTAGGATCTACTCCATAATCAATATGATATCTCCTCCCTTTTAGTCTGAATTATCATCCTGTTATGAATTCAAACCCCCTAGATTGTAGTCTTAGAACCCTGACTAAGGAGGGCCTAATTTCTCTCATGTGTGTCTGCTTATCTACTGGGTTGTAGTTGCTTCATTTCTGGTGCTGGTGGTCGTACCCTCTTCTTTGTTCTAGATTCTTCCATTTGTTTCTATTCATTTCTTCTTATTCATTTTTCTTCACAACCACATTTCAGACTCCTGTATCTAGTCTATTTAACCTAGTCTAGTACACGAAATTCAAAAACATTGGTTCTCCTCATAATCTGAGTCTGACCACTTTTTGCCCTTCAAAAAGTGACACCTGAGTCCGTTCATTCTTCTCTACCCCACACTGCTCAGAATTTTCTCACGATTAACAGTCAAAACTGACGCTTCCCATCCATAGTCCATCATGGATAACATGACTGAAACCTCTTCACATAAGACACGCTTTCTCCTGACCAACTCCAACTATGTTATCTGGAAAATCTCGATCGAAGCAAAACTGTTTGATCTTGGAGCTCGTGAATATGTCGTTGGGATCACTAAAGTCGATGAAAAAACCTCTGCTGAAGAAATCGCCAAACTCAGCAAGCTCAACACAAAAGCTTACTCGTTGATCATTCAAAATCTGGATTCCGAAAATCTCTCTCTTGTCAGCACAACTCTACCAATAACCGATCAATTCAACGGCAAGGCTCTCTGGACCCTTCTGAGAAACAAATATGCTGGTTCCAATCTCGCTGCACGATCTGCTGCTCTTGACATATTCCTAGATCTTGAATTCAAAGATGTATCATTGTTTGCTACGGCTATCCGACTCTCCAATCAAAAAATGGTTCTTGCTGGCATCATGCTCGACGATCAAGTCAAAATGATGATAATGCTACAAAAACTCCCTCGTCAAGAATTCCGATCGTTCCGGGACATTGTTGCCATGGGTTTTGCTACCGAATCGTTTGAAGCAATCGTAAAGAGACTAGAAGCCTACACAGTCACTAACAACATCAAGAAAGATTCGTTGGATGAACCTCAAGTGTCCCCTCAAACTTCTCTTCACACCCAATCAGTTGACTCAAGCTTGCGTTCAAATCCAGTCTGTCCTCACTGCAAGAAGGTCGGCCATCGACCAAACAACTGCTGGCTCAAGTTTCCTGAGAAAGCACCGAACACCAAGCGATCACATATGACAACTGATTCACAACTGTCTTCCAATCCAACCGACTTCACCTGGTTCCGAACCGCTGAAGGTGTCAGACATCACGTTGATGAAATCAAGTTTGAAAATGTTACTTATTTTCGTTAATCACTTGAATCTCGTCTCAATCAACCATTCACTAGCAATCCTGCTGTCAATCTGTGTCGTCTTTCAACTCCAATCAATCTCAAACCATGCTCACTGATATCGATCCCATGTTCTTTCGGCATAAGTAACGGGGGGTGTTGGAATTTCATCTCTTTTCCTTTCCTCTCTTCTAAGATTTCTTACTTCTGCCTCTTGTCTTGAATGATCAATAGGATCTGTTTAGAATAATCATTAGGATCTACTCCATAATCAATATGATATCTCTTCCCTTTTAGTCTGACTTATCATCCTGTTATGAATTCAAACCCCCTAGATTGTAGTCTTAGAACCCTGACTAAGGAGGGCCTAATTTCTCTCATGTGTGTCTGCTTATCTACTGGGTTGTAGTTGCTTCATTTCTGGTGTTGGTGGTCGTACCCTCTTCTTTGTTCTAGATTCTTCCATTTGTTTCTATTCATTTCTTCTTATTCATTTTTCTTCACAACCACAGTTCAGACTCCTGTATTTAGTCTATTTAACCTAGTCTAGTACAAGAAATTAAAAAACATTGGTTCTCCTCATAATCTGAGTCTGACCACTTTTTGCCCTTCAAAAAGTGACACCTGAGTCCGTTCATTCTTCTCTACCCCACACCGCTCAGAAATTTCTCAGCCCCCAAAATGTACCTGCTACACTACACTAAGACACTGATTAGTGGTACTTTGGCCCTGTAGTGTTGATTAGCAGTCCATAGTGTAGCAAAAATGCACTAACATTGCACTAACACTACATGTTTCTTTGTGAAAAAGACCACTACACTAACAGTTAGTGGTCAATACTCACATAGTGTAGCCTAGCATAGTGGCCCACCATTGGTCTGTGACTCTGTGTCTTTTTTCCCTCTGTCTAGGCCAACTTTTTACAAACAGATCACCCCCTAACTTAACCAAGTCCCTCAAGGCCATCAGAATGTGTTCTTGATGGACTTGTGTCAAGTTAGGATCACATCCATCTCTGGTATCATTTCACCTGTATAAACTTTGTATCACTTTGTTTTTGAAAATTCCTTTACCTGTGACATTCTAAAAGAATGTTCTACACAGTAAATATTCTTTCAATTTTTCATGATCTCAATAAATTGATTTCTCAAATGCACCAAAAGTGCTTATAATGTTTTTCCTTCTCCCAGACAGGTTTTCCATGATTCAACCAGAACATGACCAAGATGTAAATGCCTTGGGTAGATGAAACACACAAAAATAAGAAGATAAAAGGCAAGTCTTTTAAATTTCTGCATTTACATCAGTGATCATGATATTTAAGTGTGAATATTTGAGATTTTGACAATGACTGGCAATCAATGCACCTACCACACATCAATGATTTGTATCTATTCCACCTTTCCCAAGCTGTATGACTATATGAGCTCTTAGTCTGAGGTTGAGAACATCAAACACAGTGCTGATCATCTGACTCAAATTGCAATCATTTAAAAAAACAACAAGGTTGTGTTGTGTATGACAGAGTATAGCTATGGTGGTTATAAACAATACTGGTGCCTTGAAGTACATTGGGAGGCAAAAAAGATGAAAAGGACAAAAAATTAGAATGCATGGCGGCCGTTGCAGATATCATCAGAGCAAAAAAAAAATGATAAAATAATATGATCTACCAATTGGGAGAAATAGAGTGTCTGGTTCTTTTTTTGATAACATTGGAAAGACAATTGCAATTCAAACAATTTGACATGATTCAGAAAATAAAAGAGATACCACACTGTTAAAAAGAAAGAAGAATCCATACATCCATGGGGTATTATTTATGGTGGGGAATAGAGATGGTCTCTGGATATCCGTTGCGTATATCCGCTATCCGCTGGCGGATATCCGCTATCCGCTGGCGGATCTCCGCCAGTGCCAACGGATACCCGCCAGCGGATGCGGATGTCCCCTTTCCCCTGGAATCCTGGCCGATATCTGGGTATCCCAGCGGATATCCGCCCATATAGGAGGGGAAAAAGAAAAAACAAAGAAAAAAACAAAAGAAAAAACAAAAGAAAAAATGAAACAAGGGCCTTAATAAAAACCCAGTTTTTCCTGCACGCAGTACACGTGGATTCCGTGTTTGGGTGTGTTTTTTTAATCAATTTTTACCACTTCTTTTTCATGTTTTTTTGAAATTTTGTATTTATTTCCTAGTTTTTAAAATGCGTAGAACTTTGTGGTAATATTCAATTTCTCTAAAAATCAAAGGATCACTTTGAAAATTCCAATCAAACATATTTTTTCAATTAATTTCTTACAGCTTGTTTCTCAATAATTTTTGATTTTTTTTTTCCTACACTTTAAGACATGTAAAAAATTATGGTAATAATCATTTTGCATCAAAATGAAAATTAATTCTTGAATATTGTATTTGGCATGTTTTTTTTTAATTTATTCTTATAGGCCTAATTTTCATTATTTTTTGGAATTTTAAATTCATTTCCTACATTTTGAGAGGTTTCAAGTCTTATGACATTATTCATTTTACCCAAAAATGAAAGCTCCAATCTTAATATATGAGTTTACCTTGTTTCTTGCATAATTTTTGCTGTATACCAGTTTTATTTGTATGCAAAACTGACATAACCATCAATTTTCAAACCTTTCAAAATTCAGGAAATAAATTTAAAATTCCAACAGATAATGGGAATCAGGCCTGTAAGAATTAGTTAAAAATACATGCCAAATATAATATTCAAGAATTAATTTTCATTTTGATGTAAAATAATTATTACCATAATTTTTTACATGTCTTAAAGTGTAGGAAAAAAATTTAAAATGTCAGAAGATATTGAGAAATAAGCTGCAAGAAATTAATTTAATAAATGTGCTTGATTGGAATTTTCAAAGTGATCCTTTGATTTCTAAATAAATTTAATATTACCACAAAATTCTATGCATTTTAAAATTTAGGAAATAAATTTAAAATTTCAAAAAAACATGAGAGAATAAGTGGTAAAAAATTAAGGGGGTTAGTTAAACAACTCCCAAAAAATGGAGAGCCGACTCCCAACCCCCGCAATCCCCGAATTTTGGGAGTCAAACCCCCAAAACCTTTGATTGGTTTGGCAGTCGACTCCCTAAGAAAAATAAAAATAAAAAATAAAAATCCCCAGTCGAATACCCAGGGCAGCGGCCGGGAAAATTCCTCCCGGCCGCTGAGGTACACTCTCAACGGCTGGGAGTTGACCCTTCAGCCATGAGAGTGTACACCTCAGATTCCTCTCGGCCATCGAGGGTACATATAGACTCTCAACGGCCGATGGAAACTGCCTCGGCCGTTGAGGTGTACACACCTCAGCAACCGAGACGGTTCCCCTCGGCGTTGAGGGTACACACTCTCAACAGCCCGATGGAAACCGTCTCTGCTGTTGAGGTGTACACAACTCCAGCGGCCAAGACAATTCCTCTCGGCCGTTGAGGATATACACTCTCACCGGCCGAGGGAAATCACCTCGGCCGTTGAGTGGTACACTATCCGCGGCCGGGATGCAGCTCTTGGCCGTTGAGGTGTGCACTCAGCAGCCGAGTTTCTCTGAGTGTACACCTCAACAGCCATCGAGTGTACCCTTGACCATTGAGGTGTGTACACCTCAAACGGCCGAGACGGTTTCCGTCGGCCATTGAGAGTGTGTACCCTCAACAGCCGAGAGGAATTGTCTCGGCCGTTGAGAGTGTGTAGCCTCAACGGCCGAGAGGAATTGTCTCGGCCGCTGAGGTGTGTGCACTCTCACAGCCGAGGGGTCAGCTCCCGGCTGTTGAGTGTACCTGATCAGTGGCCGGGTGGATTCCTCCCAGCCGCTGCCCTGGGTATTTTGGGTCATCAACCCCCAAACCGGCCGACTCCCAAACCGACCGGGGATTTTGATTTTTATTATTATTTTTTCTAGGGAGTCGACTCCCAAACCAATCAAAGGTTTTGGGGGTTCGACTCCCTTTTTTTGGGGAATCTGGGGCTTGGGAGTCGGCTCTCCACTTTTTGGGAGTCGTTTAACCAAGCCCCAAAATTAATTAAAAAAAGAAAAAAAAATTGAAGGCTTGCAGGCAGCAAGCACTTCAAAATTGCTGTTTATGCAGCTCCCCAAACCTGAAATTTCCCCAAGGAACATTCATTTTGCACCCTAGGGGTCATTTAAGGGGCGGATATCCGCAGATATCCGCTCGGATACCCGCCAGCGCCAGCGGATGCGGATGTCTGATTTCACTGAAAACGTGAGCGGATATCCAAATCTGAACGGATATCTGGATGCGCCGGGGCCATCTCTAGTGGGGAATGATGATAATCTTGGAATAAAACAAAATCTAGAATCCTGGAAATGAAAGCTTGAGTCAGTGAGCTAGCCAATCAAGGCGGAGGAAGAATAGTGGATGTAGTGGATGTACTAGCGCTTATAACTGGCTCAGTTTGTCTTCCTTCCTCAGCTCTTCTTGAGCCTGTTGCAAATTTTTTAATATTTGTTGATAAAGGATGGCAGACTTCTGTTCTCGGATTTGCTCGTTGCTCATAATTTTGGCAAACCTGGTGACACAGTCAAGGAGAGGCTGAGATTGTTGGTATTGGGGTGTGAAATGTTTGGTAAGGAAGCCAGGATGAGTGAGGTACCCAGACTTAGAGGCGCCTAAACCTTCCGGTGTGTACTGATTCCAATGTGTCACTTCAGACAACCCTTTCCTCTGATCATCAGGATAATGGATGCAAATCCATATGAAGACCCAAAAAAAGGATTCCAGGTCGTCCACGTGGGTGTGGGTATTCAGCTTGAAAAGCAAGCCGATTGACATGAAAACTTTTGTCCCAGTTCTGGCATGTAAGTCTTCATCATTTCTTGTAGGGTAGCGAATCGCCACATCTAAGTCGATCAGGAAGGATTTTCGATCTGCATCTTTGGTGTCATTGTTAACCATGAGATTGTTGATTGAGATGTCTCTGTGAAGAATGCCAGCATCAAATAAGGCCTGATGTCCTGTGATACACCCCTCGAGGGCCTCCAGCAGACGAAGTGGAGAATCGACTTTCCAAATGGGTTGCCCCACGTCTTTGAGAATCAACTGTCTATGGACCCGGTTGATAAATTCATTTTGCACGTTTGGATCATCAGGCTTTTCATTGATCGGGATCTTTTGACAATTTTGGAAGTTGGGGCCCCTCCGAACGTGTGATTCGATGTCGACGATTTTGCCGTCCACGCAGACATCTTCATGATGGTGATATCGGACCACATGGGGCAAGTTCTTTTTGTTCACTTTGCGAAGCATTTCACCTTCTTCTGGCCGTTGTTTGGGTTGCCACGAATCTTTTATCATAAATTTTTGACTCTTATCTTCAGAGAGATGCGCCTCCCAGCAGGTGGTACCCCGTCCGCAGATTCCCGACGCTCGGAAGATGTGAGAGGAGTCTATTACAAGTTCTTGATTACCGTTCTTGATTGGTATTCGCATCTCAAGGTGACGGCGATCTTGAGCCTCAATGAAGGTTGGATCAAAGCCAAGGAGTTGCTTATTACACTTTAAGAAACATAACATGAGATCGAAGAACTTTGCAAGGTTTTTCTTGTCTGCTTTCAAGTCAACTGATTCAGAACCAATGGCACCGGACCTATCAAACTGCCAGAGCTGCATCAAGGTTCCGCACAGAGTAACCCCAACGACAAAGCTTCGGGTGGGCTGAGATTTGAAGACCTCGCAGACGTACTTAGCCAAGCCAGTGACAGCCTGTGTAGCAAGTGATTTATCTTTCTTGAGCTCGAAAGGGACCAGAACATCTTGAATGTGATAGCCTTTTTTGTTTTTCTTGACCCGGGACATGATCGCACCGTCCAGCTTCAGTATCTCATCAACGCCCACCAAACACGTGTCGGGTAGATTCCGCCAAGTACGAGACTGCCGAATGTTTGAGCTTTGCTTTTCCAACTGTTCGACGAATGAAGTGATCCAACTCAACATAGGATGCTGCCGCGTGTTTTCTAGTTTTTCATTATGCTTTTTATCAATAAAGTATTCGGTAGGTTCCAGGCGGAAAGCGGGGTCGATGTGTTGCTTGTTGATGAAATGCTCCACTAAACCTGGGACATTTGTGTACAGCAATCCCGTCAATTCCTGTCTTAGCGGATGAAGGAAGTCTTCAAGCTTGCTCGAAGAATCGACGAGGCCAGATGTGGTGCTGGTCTTCACCGGGGCCGGTACGAATGCTAAAGGTGTTGGCGGCCTGTTAGATTCTTGGTCGATGAGATCACACATTTCTTCATTGCATTTGGCTTCGTTGGCGAGGAGGACGGTGATAAGAGGCCGGAAAGGTTCAAAGTCGTCGGTCCGATTCAAGTCTGGCATCTTCAGGAATCCGTTATGAACTCCAAAGATGAAACACTGTGCCGAGATTTCCGCTCCGAGTTCCACGAGCCGTTTTCTGGTTTCTGTCAGAGAATATGCGTGAGATGGTGCTTGATGAGATGGGTTGATGAATGAGTAGTGCTTGGCTTACGAAGCTCATCATCCCCGAAGAACTCTTCCACTGTCTCGATCCCAGTTGAGGCGAGATATCTGTGTAAAGCTTCGTAAATAGTTGCTGGTTCTTGTGCCATGATGATTGATGATGTTCTTGTTCTTGGGGGGTGATGTCGAGCTTTGAGTTTGACTCTTGAGTGTGAAGGTGGATGGATGGTCAAGAAGTGTTGGTCAAGAGCGCGATTCCTTTTTGTGCACATGTAGCTGGGCTCGACAGACCCCGGCTCCCGATTTCGAACTACTACGGTCTGTTTCGATTCAAGGCAAGTGGTCACTTTCATTTCCTTGATCGGCTCTACGACCCAACTATCTCAATACCAACACCGAGCAATCAAGATGCCTTCGCCATGGAACCTCCCATCTGCCTTGATTGGTCTGTTGGACACACCAGAAATAGAAAACGAAACTGATTTCGAGTCGATGGATCAATCCGAAATCAAACGGACTGTTAATCGTGGGTTATTTTTTTAAACGCTCTGTCTCTCCTGGCCATCGCAATTCTCTTTTCTAACTAGAAAATTTGATTCGGTTTGACATAGATTTGGTGGATCGGCTTACGAGTTCGTCGGAGTCAATTGGCGATTCAGAGATCTTTCAAAAATTCCAGAGCTTATTGAAGTGTGTTTTCGACCTATTTATTCATGCTGCCTTTAATGACCCAGTAATTGTGCTGAAGTTCTGCGCTACCCGTTTGCCTACGATCTTAGGCACGCTTTGAGCATACCACAAACAGCGCTTCATTCGATCCTGGACGTATTGCTGTTCGGCTTCGAGGCCGAAGTCACATCAACCCTTCGTGATGCCAACCCAAGCGACCACACGGCCTACAAATCGCATCGGGCCAATCTCGAACGATTCGGATTCCTCTTGATTTGGCTAGTCGAGATCTGCGAGAAACGTAGATTAACAGAAAGGGGAATTGAAGGTCACTCCAATCCTAATCTCACCGATAAATCCAAGTCGACCAAAGCAAAAAACTCCAAATCCAAATCTCGACAACCCTCATCCGATAAGAATGCCCCATTCGATTGGACAAATCAAATCCCTGATATTCTCAACGCGATGTTGAAAGCTCTTAGCCTAAAAACCGAATTCATTTGGCCCACCTCTCAAGAGAGGGACGCGTTTGTAGGGTGTGTACTCTTCTGTGTTTATTAACTTTTTATTATCATATTTAAGAACTCATTTTAGCCTGATCACCATGGGGGCGCTTCCTTGATGTTCTATGAACGGATGCCCTCTATTCTTCATTTTAGATGTTTTACCAAACCGGTGTATCAAATCCTTGAGATGAAAGCGTTTGCTGATAGCGTGGCTATTCGGGTTCCTGCTTTCAAGATCATTTGTACAGCCGCCAAGAGTCATGGTCAAACCTACAGTCAGACCACTTCACCTTGTTCCTTTTCTATAACATACACTCACAAAAAATCCTTATCTAACATCTCGCCACCTTCACCCTCATCTCGCTAATCTTTCTTGGTACTTCTTTTGATATTAGGCACACAGACTTCAATCCTTCAAAAACTGCAATACTTTGATCATTTATCAGAATACATGGCAGAATTGACCCACTTACTAGTCGAGACTAAGGATTTACCTCAAGTGGCTGATTCGATCCTCCGTGAAATCAGTTCCAAAACATTTTCCGCTCAAGATACCAAAGGCCCGCGAAGTTTCTCCCGATATTTAGTCAAGTTGACCACCCTTTCTCCTCGCCTAGTATTTCGACAGATCGTCATGCTACAAAAACATCTGGATAGTGAAAGCTATGTGATGCGGATCTGCCTCTTAGAAGTCTTTGGGAAATTGATCGAAGCGCTGAGTCAGGATGACGATCAACAAACTCAAAACCCACCTCAAACCAATCGTAATCCTAATGATCTCGATGAGAATGAACAAGTTGCGAACCCCTCTGGAAACGGAAGAGATAAAGAAAAACAGTCCCAGGTCGTCAAGTTGGATGGCTTTTTCAACCTACTCTTCGAAAGATTTTGCGATTCAAATACCTTCGTCAGGGTCAAAGTTGTCAACATCTTTGAGGACATTTTAAAGTTTCGTTCAAAATTCTTTTCTTCCTTCAATGATTGTTTATCTACGACATCACGGGCATCACATTAATTACCTCTTAAGGGGTTTTCTATCCGATTCTGAAATCCAGGCTCACCGTGCCTTTTCCCAAACATCGATTACGCTTGGCCTCAAGAGCGCTGCGCTCGTTGGAAGACAAATCCTCTCAAGTCAGGAAGCACTGCATGACTGTATTGAGCAGACTGATCGAGACTCATCCCTACGGTGTCATGCATGGCGGCGAGCTTGGAATTGACGAATGGCAGGCTAGATATGACGCAATAGTGAAAGAGCTAAGCGTGTTTGATCTGCCTGGTAACGGTGTGGATGAAGAAGTACGAAAGATTATGGAAGGTGAAGAAAAGGAGGAAGAAGACGGATCGGGTGCCCAGGATGACGAGCCGACTTCTGAGGCCAACGATTCCAATGCTGAAAATAGACGTTCTGGTGAAGACGATGAGTCGATGTCCGATGGGAATTCTGGCAGTGACAAAACAACCAAACGCAACAAGACACCAAGGCCGAGTCAAGCTGATATGGATGCGGCTGCTGGAGACCAACAAGCAGCCCTCTCGAATTATGATCACGAATCCTTAATGAAATTACGCTTGACGAAGAAGTATTACTCGGATGCGATCCAGTTTATTCAAATTTTACAATCTGCCGTTCCATCGATCGAAAAACTCTTGGCATCCAAAGTGAAATCTGAGGTTCTGGAAGCGATCTACTTTTTTAAGACCGCTTGGAATTATAAAGTCCAAGGTGCTCAGGATGGGATTAAGCGGATGCTTCATTTGATTTGGTCAACAGAGAATTCGACGGTCGAAGAAACTACCAAGGATGCCGCAGCCGGAAACGAGGATGGCCCTAAGGAAGTGAAAGAGATTAAAGGGGTTCGGTTTGCTTTGATCGATTGTTATCAAGAGCTTTATTTTGCTCCACTCGTCAGACAGCCAGGGGAAACCGTTTCGGCTTATGCCAATAGGAATATCGCTAGAATCACTCGCAACATGATTGAGTGAGTAACTCGGACAATTTTTGTTTTCTTTATTGTATATTTTTTTTGCCGTTACTTATTTGGCTGATTCTCCTTTTTCCTTTGAAAAACAGACTAACGTACCAAGCAACCCTTGCCGAGTTAACTTCCTTGGAAGAGCTCATGGGCGTGATGATGGAACGAGGCTACGTGCACGAAGACGTAATCTATAAGCTTTGGGAAGTTTATAGTACGAGCAAGGATATACCTAAACAACAACGACGAGGGGCAATAATTGTACTTGGCATGTTGGCCGCCCCACGTCCAAACGTGGTAGCAGATAATCTGGATAAATTAGTGGCTATTGGCTTGGGCCCGATCGGGAAGGTCAGCACCTTTGTGCGCTATAATCTCAGCTTTGGCATATCATACCAAACTTTTTCCGAACTTCTATGTGTGTGATAGGGGCGATCTGGTTCTTGCCCGATATTCTTGCATCGCTCTCAGTCGGATAGGGGGTAGTGCCAAGAAGGTTAAGGGTAAGTTCCAATGTGATTATGCGCAAAAAATGTGTCAATTGACTGAAATCTGTTCTGTTCAACAGGCTCTTTGATTGACCGTAATATCCGCCTCCCCTTGGATAATCCAGTTTTTCGGAAGCTGGCAGATATTATTCAGACTCCAACTAGAAGCAAAGAATGGTTTGCTATGGCTGAGCAAGCATTGAACACGATTTATGGACTGGGAGACCAACCGGATCTTTTATGTACAGAAATTCTCCAGACCATGGCCCTGAAATGTTTCGAAGGTGTTCCAGAGGAACCGAACCAGTCCGACGCCATGGAGGTCGACCCACAGATTATACCCGAGTCTCAAGTGGAGTCGCAGGAGCAACCTACTGAAACTCAACGCCCCACTTCACCTGTGAGGAATTCAGCCCTATCGTCAAGTCAAGGTCCTCGTCTACTGGCCGATTCATTTGCGTTAAGTCAAGTGATCTTCCTTGCTGGTCACGTCGCCGTCAAACACTTGGTCCATCTGGAACTTGTGGAGCGCGAATTCAAGCGACGAAAAGCAGAGAGTGACGAATTGAAAAAGAAGCAGAATCCTCGTAAGACCGGCCATAATGATAAAGATAAGGATATCGAGGGCGAAGAGTTAGATCAGGTTGCCGGGAATGTGGAAGATGATATTGGCGATGTGATTGCTCACGCAAGAGAGAAAGAACTTCTGTTCGGTCACCAATCTCTCCTCGGCGTGTTTGCGCCGATGACGGTCCAGATCTGTGGCCTACCGGCGGTGTACAAAGTAAGGAGTCTTTCTGGCTAGTAACAATGAATGCGAGAAGCAAAATCTAAACTTACTCTGTTTTGTT